CGTGGCGGCATCCGCATCCGCCACCCCGTCCAGCTGTGGAGCCAGCGCCCGGCCCCAGACAGAAAGCGGCGGGCGGGGCGCCGCCCCGCCCCGCCCCGCCCCGCCCGCCGCCTTCGCGGGAACCGGCCCCTCCACGCTTCGCCCCTTCCTCTGGTCCCGATTTTGAATTAACCGAAATCACGGCGGTCGGAGAAGGTGCTCTGCTTGACGCTGGCCTGTAGCGTTGAGATTTCCTCGTGGGTCAATAAGTGATCGATGTTTAGACCCATCCAGCGGTGCTTGAAAAGGGCGCTCTGAGGCTGTGGCCCCCAGACCCAGAAGCGCGTGCAAGGCGGGGTGCGGAGGGGCTGGCAGCGCCGCGACACGCCCCCGGAGAAGGAGCCCGGGGGTCCCAGGGGTCCCAGCCTCGCCTCCTCTTGCAGCCTCCCCGTGTCATCACGTCTTGGGAAAAGACGGCGTCTGGACCTTGTTTGAATCGCATGGGCCGCTTGCGGGCGATTGTTTAAATGACGTTACTTCCATTATTGATGTATTTGGATTTCCTTTTTCTTTTTTTTCCTCTCTTTTTCTCTGGATTTCTCTTTAAAATAAACTTTGTTTTTAAAATACAACAGAAAAATTGCTGGGAGTAAAGAGTTCCCAGACTTCACACTCCGTTTCCTGTTATGAACATCTTACATTAGCAAGATCCCTTTGTCACAGTTAGTCAAACAACATTGACACTTCGTCACGAAATAAAGTCCGTGCTCTATTCACGCTTCCTTAGTTTTTACCTAATTTTCCCTTCTTGCTCCAGGATTCCACAGTGTATTCGGTCGTTAGTTCTCCTTGGGCCCCACTGGGCTGTGACGTTTTTGATGACCTTGACAGTTTTGAGGAGTGCCGGTCAGGCATTTTGTACAACGTCCCTCCGTTGAGACTTGTCTGGGGTTTCCTGATGGTTAGACAGGGCTCATGGGTTTGGGGAAGAGCACAGGGCTACAGTCTCCTTCCCATCACACACTATTAGGGGGGCCTGCTGTCAACACGACTCCTCACTGCGATGTCGACCTTTGTCGCCTGCCGCAGTCAGTACTCTTCTTTCCCATACTCCGCTCTCTGGGAGGACGTTGGTACTCCCCGCCCACTTGAGGGTAGACTACGTACATCACACGGAATGGAGATTTGAGTCTTCTCTCCCTTTATTTATTTCTTCGGTCACTTTTACCAATATGGACTCATGGGTATTTACGTTTGTGTGTGTGTGTGTGTGTGTGTGTGCGCGTGTGTGTGTGTGTGCTGTTAAAATATACATGACGCAAAATTTATCATCTTAACCATTTTTAAGTGTAAAATTCAGTGACATTAAGTACATTTACAGTATCGTACAGCCATCACCACCATCGTGTCCAGAACTTCTCAAAGTGGAACTCTGTCTTCATTGGATACTCCCCATCCTCGTCCGCCCACCCCCAGCACCCGCCCGTCTTCTGTCCCTGTGGATCCGACTCCTCCAGGGACCGCCCGCGACTGGATTCGTACAGTCTCTGGCTTTTGTGTCTGGCTTATTTCACAGAGCACAGTCTTCTCCGGTCCCATCCAGGTCGTAGCAGGTATCAGAATATCTTTCTTTTTTAAGGTTGGGTAACAAGAATTCCACTGGATGTTATAATAGGGTTCTCCACCGAAAAGGAAGCAATTGCACATCTATTTTTTTACTGTCTGGAATTTGCTCACGTGATGACGGAGGCCAAGACGTCCCAGGGTCTGCGGCCTGCGAGCTGGAGACCTGAGAGGGCTCGTGCTGTCAGTCAATGCCACTGCGAAGTCTGAGGACCAGGGCGCAGATGCCCGAGGGCTGGAAGGGTGGCAGTCCCAGCTCGGGCAGAGGGCAAGTCGTCCCTCCCTCTGCCTCCTTGTTCTGTTCAGGCACCGGATGACAACCGCCTGTGACGATGAGGCCACCTTCCTCACTCAGCAGGCAGACTCAAATGCTAACCCCTTCCGGAGACACCCAGAAATGTTCCCCAGCCGTCCGGGGACTGGACACCCCATGGCCCAGTCACGTTGACACATAATATTAACCATCGCATACGGGCAGAACATGTTTTGTTTATCCATCTGTCCCTGGGTGGACATTCGGATCGTTTCTACTCTTCAGCTATTGTGAATAGCGCTGCTGTGAACGTGCGTGTGCAAATAGCTGTTCAGGTCTCTGCTTTCAGTTCTTCGGGGTGTACACTCAGAAACAGGATTGCCGGGGCGTATGGTACTTCTATTTTTGGAGGAAACTCCATGCTTTTTCCACAGCAGCTGCACCATTTTACCTTCCCACCAACAGTGCACCAGGGTTTCCACGCTCCGTGTCCTCAGCAGCCGGTGTTTCCTGTGTGTCGTGTTTCCTGTGTGTGTGTGTGTGTGTGTGGTGTGTGTTTTGGCAGCAGCCGTCCTCGTTGGTATTAAGTGATATCTCACTGTGGTTTTGATTTGTATTTTCCTAACGATCATTGATGCCGAGCATCTTTTCAGGTGTTTATTGGCCATCGTATGTCTTCTTTGGAGAAACATCTGTTTGAGTCCTCTGCCCATTGTTTTAATCTGGTGCCACAGCCTAGTGAAAGTGACATGAAATTAACCCTCTGATCCTCTCTCTCCTCAGGCCGACACTGGGCTCCTCCCCCCGTCCCCCTCCCCGCATCTGTCATCCGCTCTGCGGGCTTCGTCACCTATTGTGGTTTGGGCTTCCAGATGGGAGGAGTTTCGTGAAGTGGTGTTGTACTTCTGACTCCTATTCCTGTTGTTTGGGATTTTCAAGGGGAGGGGTGGGAAGTCTTTTGTCACCATCAGAGAGCCCAGAGCTAGGGCCGTGGAGCCGTCAGGATGAAGGTGGGGGACCCAGAGCTGGCTTCGCCTCCAGCCTCTTCTGGGCCCGCTGGCCTGGTGCCTGCTGGAGCCATCTTGTCCCTGTCAGCACAAATCTTGTGGCCTCAGCAGCTGGCTGGGGCCTCAGTGGGAAGCGTCCTCAAGGCTTCAGATATTCTGGAGGCTGGAACCAGCCGTGCTGGCAGGGGACATGGTATACGTCACCTGCTCAGATTCATCAGGCTGTCGTGGGGGGGCGGGGCAGGTGCGTGTGTGTCTGCGTGTGTGTGAGACTCTGGGAGCTGGAGGGATGAGATGAGCCCCTCAGTGGGTCTTATGCTCCCT